GATTGTTTAGTATGGTTTCATCTCTTCTTTATACTATTTTTTGACAGTTATGAGACTGCTTTAGAACGGAATTATCTGTGCCTCCAGCTTAAAAGGATGCAGGTTACAAAAAGAGTGACACTGATGAGATTGTCTCTCAGTGTCTCAAAGATTGAAGAAATCTTTAGTGTTTTAGGGTTAAGTGATTCCATCAGAGCTTTGCTTGACTATCTCTTTCGATTTATTGAATTTATTTACCGGTTATAGATGAAAAAAGATCTTTTAAACCTAGAAGAAAAATTATGGAACAAAGACACCTTATGAATTAATAGTATAAATCAGTGAATTGATATTAGTTAATAGTTTTTGGAAAAAGTACCATGTACTATTAAAGTTTCTAATTTTTAAAATATATGATACATTTATATGAAACATGCAAACAAATGATACAATAGGGTACGTGATTGACTATAATTATGTTGTATATCAGAATGTGTTATATAAATGCTTATTACATTTTATTGTGATTTTTATCTTTTATGCCCAGTTGCAATGTATTTTGTGTAGCAATGACTACTAATCTCAGATATCTATGACATCTATGGGGTGTGTTCACCACTACAGATGTCATAATTTATTTATAACCAATTGCTTTTACTCTTCCATAATGTCATATTTTAATAAGAATCACATTATGGAAAACCGTCTAATTCATACACATGAGGAACCATTATACTTTTAGTACAACCAATTATATTACATTTGTTTTCTTATTTTAGATGAACTTTCTTACTTCAGTTGGAGGAGATGAGAAACAACTTACAGCGACAATCTTAATACAGTTAATGGCCAAAGAAGTATGTTTTTCATACTCAGTGTATGGAAGGAACCAAAAACGTCCTGCAAGGTCGTTATAGGTAAAGCAAAATATTTGTATTCTACATCCCATTTCCTTTTAATAAATAAACCTTTTAATAAAAGCTAATTATTTTACAATATTTATACGTGAAAAATTATATATTTCAAAATTATATTCTGATGATATTGATAAAACATTTTTTAGATTTGCGTTTAGTCATTTATCGTTGTATTCGTTTCTTTCGAAATTGCTACTGATAAAAGTATTAAAGAAAAAATTGGCAGCTTTCTGGCGACGGCCCATAATAGAGATTACGGAAGAAAAATAGAACCGTAACTGAGCAACGCCCAGTATTGAGCAATGAAATAAGTATCGCCAAAATAATGAAAGTCGATGCCCACTATCTCATAGTGAGAGTATAATACACTTTATAGATATATACTTATTGGTGAGTATAATACACTTTATAGATATATACTTATTGGTGCAATATTGTATCGCCAATATTGCACCAATACTGTAAGTATTGGTGCAATATTGGCGATACAATATTGCACCAATACTTACAGTATTGGTGCAATATTGTATCGCCAATATTGGCCAATATTGACTTTACAATATTGGCGCAATATTGTAGCACATTAACAAAATGTTCACATTGCAACATTGGCCCAATATAGTTTACAATATTGCGCCAATATTGTAAACAATATCGCCCCAATATTGCGCCAATATTGTTTGCTACTAGGGTATATATATATATATATATATATATATATATATATATATATATATATATATATATATATATATATATATATATATATATATACATACATATATATATATATATATATATATATATATACATATATATATATATATATATATATATATATATATATATATATATATATATATATATATATATATATATATATATATATATATATATATATATATATATATATATATATATATATATATATATATATATTTATACTTAAATATACAGTGACGCTCAAAAGTGAGTTGACAGGCATATATTTAAAGAAAAACTGCTGTATCGCGATCAAAAACCAAAAAGAAAAGCAAAATATTGCAAAATTCTCTTCAAGATACATTTATATTTTTAAAGTATTACAAAAATAGCAAAAAATGTAAATAGATAAGTTAATATATCACGACTTATAAATTTGACTAAATCTAAAAGTCTGTTGACAAGTATTTTTTTAATATACAATTACCGGTAAGTTAATGAAATAAGCAGAATAATGGCTTAATTAAGTTAAATAATCTTTTAAACAAGCATTTTAAATTTCACTACTTGTTTTGAACAGCATATTGAACAAATAAACTATTTTGAGATGGCACACCGTGAAACGTCGACTGATGCCAGGATTGAAATCTATCGTTTAATTAAAGAGGAAGGAAAGTCATTGAGAGAAGTAGCAAAGATTTTTGGATTGAGTGCGAAAAATGTAAGGATGATCGTTAAGCAAATGAACCAGCAAAAAAACGGTAGAAAATTCAATTAGATCAAGTCGACCAAGGAAGACAACTCTAAGAGATGATAGACTGATAGTTAGATCATTGGTTGAAACGCCAAACATGAGTCCAATAGAACTTAAAAACGAATTAAATTTGGAAATTAGTCCTCAAACAATTAGAAAACGCCTCAATGATGTCGGATTACCCAGGAAAACGATGCGAAAAAAACCATTCATCTCTATAAATAATCAAACAAAGAGGCTGGCGTTTGCTACAATGCATATAAAGTTGCCACTCGAAGTCTAGAAATCTGTAATTTTGACAGACGAATGTAAGTTTGAACTTCAATCGACAAAGAGAAGAAGAACGGTCTTCAGAAAAAAGTATGAGAAGTTTTATTGCAACATATGATACCTACAGTCAAGTTTGGTGGTGGGTCGGTAATGCTGTGGGGTTTTATTTCATGGAACGACCCTGGTATTATCAAGTTGATCAATCGTAAAATGACCAAAGAAGTTATCTCGACATTGTACAGCGAAACGTCTTTGCTTCTGCGGCGAAATTAAGGATAGAGGCCGATTTTATCTGGCAGGAGGATAATGATCCAAAACATACAGCAAAGATTGTCAAAGATTGTTTCCCTGATCATGAAATTTCTAAGTTCGATTGACCTGCTCAATCATCAGATTTAAATATAATCAAAAATATATGAGAATACTTGGGTAGAACTATTCCTTAAAACGAAAATCAAAAAATGACATGTTTACAACAATCAAACGTCATTGGGAAAAAAATTGACACTAATTTCATTCAGAAATTAGTACTTTCGATACCGAAACACTTGCAAGCAGTTATCGATGTTAAAGGCGGACCAACAAAATATTAAATGGATCGCGTTTGCACCAAAATAACAAAACTTTTTTGTTTAAAATTGTGTTCTTGTTGCTGTCAACAAACTTTTGAGCTGCACCTTTTTGCGTTTTACCTAATTTTTTATCGTTCTAACGTTAATTGACTGCTGTTCTATATTTATTTCAAACATTCTTTTTGCTTTCTATTAAACTAAATACTTTCTACCCATAAATATCTTCTCATTTATAAAATAATGCCTAAATATTCACTTTTTTAAATGTCAACTGACTTTTGAGCTTCACTAAAGTTTGATAACTCCAATTATCCATTGTCTTGAAGAGCAGTAGGCACACTCAGTTTGATTGAAACATCCTGTTTGATTGAAACTTTCTATTCAATTGAAAAGTTGTGGAGATACCGACAGTTTCACTACAATATAAATAAACATATAAAAATAAAAATGTTTTTCTTAAAATTCTTAAAGTTAAAAACCAATCAAAAAACATTATAATCAAATTTTATATATCAAAATAACAAAAGTTCTAACACGCAACGCAAGCTAAAAATTAAGTACTACTTGATCAATCCATTAGTTTGTGTTTTGATATAGTATTTATGCGAATAATGGTATTTTAGAAATCATTTTTCGGGCTAGTAGAAAAGGAGACTTCGCAAATACTGATGGGTTAGCAACAATGTAAATAACTATATAGATATATCATGTAGGAAAAAATATTTTAAATAAAAATTTACTAAATCATTGTAAATTTGATTTTAAAAGTCTATCCTAAATGGATTACATAGCTAAATATGTTCATAAGTCATAAAAAGGTTTATCTAAAAGTTAAGAAGGTCTATATAAAAGACATAAATTTAGACATCTTACTTGATTGCTTCAATCTACAGTCTTTTGGTATAGTAGTCACACTTGATTTAAATAAAGATATCTTAGAATGCAATTGAATGCTTGAAACAAGGTGGCTGTGGAAGTGGCGATGGTTTAATTAAAATGTAAATCCGAGCGTATATTGTTTGAGATATGTTCATTACAATTAATAATAGTCTTCAAAGATGTAAAGTAGGACAACTTAGCTACATAATCAATTGAATATACTTGCGGTACGACATCCAAATTCTTTTTTTATACTTAAATGCATCATGCATGCATGCTATATTATGATATAGTACGCATGAATAATGCATGCAAGTACTTTTAGCATTAAAGTCTTCACATACTTTATTTCATGTTTATTGTAACATCAAATTAGCTAACCTGTCAATATTTGTACCTTTTGCATAACATTAACATAAAATTCTTCTTCAACAAGAAAATAAAAACTATTTTACTATACCGTAAAATAGTTAATCATATACTTATTATAACTTGCTTCTTTTTTTTATACATAAAAATTAAAACAAACTAAATAAAACTATTATTTTTAAATTTATAATATATATATATATACATATATATATATATATATATATATATATATATATATATATATATATATATATATATATATATATATATATATATATATATATATATATATATATATATATATATATATATATATATATATATGTATATATATATATATATATATATATATATATATATATATATATATATATATATATATATACACAGTGACGCTCCAAAGTGAGTTGACAGGCGTATATTTTGTGGAAAACTGCTGTATCGCGATCAAAAACAAAAAGAAAAGCAAAATATTGCAAAATTCCCTTCGAGATACAGTTTTATTTTTAAAGTATTACAAAAAAAGAAAAATATATAAATAGATAAGTTAATATATCACGATTTATAAACTCCAAAAGTCTGTTGATAAGAGTTTTTTTAATATATAATCACCGGTAAGTTAATGAAATAAGCAGAATAATGGCTTAATTAAGTTAAATAGTATTTTAAATAAGCATTTTAAATGTCACTATTTGTTTTCAACAGCATATTGACGAAATAAACTTTTTTGAGATGGCACACCGCGAAACTTCGTCTGATACCGGGATTGAAATTTATTGTTTACTTAAGGAGGAAGGAAAGTCATTGAGAGAAAAGGCAAAGATAGTGTTTGAGTGTGGAAGGTGTAAGGATTGAGTGCGGAAGGTGTAAGGATGATCGTTAAGCAAATGAACCAGGGAAAAGCGGCAGAAAACTCAAATAGATCAGGTCGATCAAGGAAGACAGCTGCAAGAGATGATAGACTGATCGTTAGAACATCGGTTGAAACGCCAAACATGAGTCCAATAGAACTTAAAAACAAATTAAAGTTGGCAATTAGTTGTCAAACAATTAAAAGACGTCTCAATGATGTCGGACTATAAGGTAGAGCGATGAGAAAAAAACAGTTCATCTTTATAAATAATCGAAGAAAAAGGCTGGCATTTGCTAAAATGCATATAAAGTTGCTACTCGAAGTCTGGAAATCTATAATTTCGACAGACGAATGCAAGTTTGAACTCCAATTGACAAAGAGAAGAAGAACGGTCTTCAGAAAAAAGAATGAGGAGTTCTTAATGCAACATACAATACCTTCAGTCAAGTTTGGTGGTGGGTCGGTGATGCTGTGGGGTTGTCAGCAATGATTGTCAAAGATTGGTTCGCTGATCATTAAATTTTCAAGTTCGATTGGCCTGCTCATTTGCCAGATTTAAATATAATTAAAAATATATAGGAACACTTGGATAGACCTATTCCTCAAAACAGAAGAAATTCAAAAAATGACATGTTTGCATCAATCAAACGTCTTTAGGATGAAATCGACATTAATTTTATTCAAAAATTAGTACTTTTGATACTAAAACGCTCGCAAGCAGTTATCGATGCTAAAGGTGGACTAAAAAAATATTAAATAGATTGCGTTTGCACCAAAATAACAAAATTATTTTGTTTAAACTTGTGTTCTTGTCGCTGTCAACAAACTTGAGAACAGTAACTTTTTGCGTTTTACCTAACTTTTTATCGTTTTAACGTTAATCGACTGCTGTTCTGTTTTTATTTCAAACATTCTTTTTGTTTTCTATTAAATTAAATACTTTCTACCCATAAATAACT